CTTTGGCACGCGGCCTGCCAGGGTAAGCACCTTGGCGGGCCGGGCTAGTTTGTTTACCTGACGTGTCCGCAGGTTCAGACGATCGCGACTCCCACTGGCCGCGGTTCGCCGCTCCAGGCCAATGGGGGAGGCGGGAAGTGGCGCGGGCTGAGGGATATGCTGGCCGCCGCTTCCCGCCGCCCTCATTGGCCTGGAGCAGCGAACCGCAGCCAGTGGGAGTGACAATCGGCCGAACCTGCGGACACGGCAGGTAAACAAACTGGCCCGGCCCGCCAGGGTGCTTACCCTGCAGGCTGTGTGCCAAAGGTTGCCGATCCCTGGTATAAACCAACAATAAAGAAAAGAACAGTGAAAACGCCTCTGAAGGGGTCTAAATCTCTGTGCTACTTATAAAAAGAGAAAAAATTAGTAGCCAGAAATCCTACTCTTCAAGTCGGTCTATAGGAGAGGTTGCGCTCTCAGAATCTAATACAAAGAGACTACAAAAAAAATAAAAAAAAAAAAAAGTTCTTTACACTGGATTGACTTTAGATGTTCTGCAAGGCTTTTGCTGCCCTAGATATTAATACAGAGACTTCAGAGATTTCCGAAGAGTTGACAGATCAAAAGGAAAGTGAGTAAACAAACAAACATTTTCCTTCAGCTTCTAGCAAAGAACTCTGCACCCCTCCTTCTAGTTACGGAGAACGTAATCAAGTCACATTGGGGGCAACCAAACAAAAGCTGTGAGGCAATCACAAAAGTGCTATACAATGCCTAAATTAAGATTGGCCTACATCAAACCGGGGGGGTCATGGAATGTATTCTGGGGGTGGGTGTGAGAAGCTTTGGGGGGGGCGGGATCTACTGCACACATTTTACCCATAGCAATGAATAAGTAGCAAAGCTGATTCCTTCAGACATATCAGGTGTGGGTGGGGGGTCTACTTAAATTATGGACAAAATCGCACATTTTTCAGGGGTTGGTCAAGGCATAAAGAGCGAACTTTGCAGATGTGTTCATACGGTTGCATATTCCATGCCACCCTTACTTCTGCATTGCTGCTGGCAGCAGCACTGCCTTCAGAGCTAGGCGCCCAGTCAGCAGCCACCACTGTCGAACCGCTCAGCACTGAAAGCAGCGCAGAGGTAAGGGTGGCAATATTGTGAGCCCCCTACAATTGGCTTGTGACCCCCGTTTTGGTGGGACCCCCAGTTGAGAAACATCATGCACTTTTGTATAATTTTACCCTATATACTTAAATGGCTGGTTTCAGAGTAGCAGCCGTGTTAGTCTGTAGCCACAAAAAGAAGAACAGGAGTACTTGTGGCACCTTAGAGACTAACAAATTTATTAGAGCATAAGCTTTCGTGGACTACAGCCCACTTCTTCGGATGCATATAGAATGGAACATATATTGAGGAGATATATATACACACATACAGAGAGCATAAACAGGTGGGAGTTGTCTTACCAACTCTGAGAGGCCAATTAATAAAGAGAAAAAAAACTTTTGAAGTGATAATCAAGCTAGCCCAGTAGAGACAGTTTGATAAGAAGTGTGAGAATACTTACAAGGGGAGATAGATTCAATGTTTGTAATGGCTCAGCCATTCCCAGTCCTTATTCAAACCGGAGTTGATTGTGTCTAGTTTGCATATCAATTCTAGCTCAGCAGTCTTAAATGGCTCTGTCTGAATCAATGCCTTACTGTTTTTAATATTTAGTGAGAGTTGCATGTTGATTTTTTATTATTGGTGTATGAACTTGTGTGGCAGCAGGCAGGGGAGCATAAACTACTACAGACAGAAAGAAGGGGGGCGCAATCAAATAAGTTTGAGAACCACTAGCCTACATCATACTCTGAGGTCAACATAACTGTTGCTAGCTTGGCTAGTGAACAGATGATTCCCTCAGAAGATGACCTACAGTCTAAGTTCACAGACCTCAAAGTAAAGACCAGCTTAGACTGCAACTATGAAACAGCTTCTCCCACTTTAATCAGCCACCTCAACCTGTACTGCTCAGGCAATTCAGTCCTGAAACACTGTTCAGAATCTGCTTGTGTCTGTCTTCTGCTGTGTCATTCCCAAGCTAACTGATCATCCCTAATCAAGATACTAATTATTTTTCTTATATTACATTCAGTGAAAGACAATAGTTATTTCATCTGAAATACATTTAAAATTTACCTTCGCCTTTTCTGATGTTCGTTTTCCACCAAATCCTCCAGCTCCAACAATAAACAGAGAGAACTGATTATAGCACAACAGATCCTTTCCACAGTAGGTATGAACTGGAAGACAATACAAAATGAGAGGTTATAGTCTCTTTTTTGAATACTCCTAACAGACCCCTCTCAGAGCCAATGGATATTGAATAGCTTTGTTTTATATATGCCAGTATTCATCTCCACAAGTTAGGGGACAATGTCCTCACTTCTGAATGGCACTGTCATAAATCATTTCCTAACAAGTGAAGATTAATGTCCTGTTTAAAACTACGCTATTATAGATGCTCTTTACACAAAAGTATTAAAATGAAAAAATGAGCTATCAAAATGCTGATGACATACCAAGTGCTAAAAAAAATGGTTGACAACACACGAAGTGCTGAAATTAATGTTTATTTCAACATTTCACACATCATTAGCTACTTATTTTAATACTATAGCACTATGCCATAAAATGTGATTTATTAGAAGCCATTAACAATCCTTGGTGAAAATACACATTCACAACCTCATACACAACAAAGCAGCACTAATATTGTATGTGGAAAAAGCAACCCCAAAGGAAGATTTAATTTAAGGTCACTTGGTTTTCTTTTTGTTAAAGTCACTTTTGATTTTGCTGAACTTGAAGTATTTATAGTTACTGAGGTGAAACAGAAATCTCTCTATTTCCAATTTATTCTCACTTATTATTCCATTAGGACACAGACCAGCTTAAACTTATTGCCAGTAGTGCACCACTTCCACTTATACTGGGTGCCTAGTTTCTCTCATAAGCAGCTAACCTTTAATGACCCAGACCAGAACCTTTAGGTTTGTTACAGAAATAGACAGACTGGTTTGGATAAACGTCTAATGGGCCCAAACCTTGGCTTTTCAATCGTTCCTATGTGGAAGTAAAGCATAACTAGGAAGGATTAGGATGGAGAGCAGTTAGCTTTTTGCCAGACTGAGCCATTAACTAGCGTGACAAAGTTCCTCCTCTATCTTGGTGGGTCCTGCACTTATTGGTGGATTTTCTTGCCTCAGAGATTCATCACGTGGGTTGGGGAACAGCCCAGAGAACTTCCCCTCTGGAAGAACCCACAGTCCAGGTCAATTGGGAGGTTTGGGGGGAACCCCGGGCCCGCCCTCTACTCCGGGTTCCAGCCCAGGGCCCTGTGGACTGCAGCTGTCTATAGTACCTCCTGTAACAGCTGCATGACAGCTACAACTGCCTGGGCTACTTCCCCATGGCCTCCTTATTCTCACCACAGGACCTTCCTCCTGGTGTCTGGAAAGGCTTGTGCTCCTCAGTCCACCAGCAGCACCCCCTCTCACTCTCTGCTCCTTGTGCCTCTTGCTCCCAGCTCCTCACACTCACACCACAAACTGCAGTGAGCTCCTTTTTAAAACCCAGGTGCCCTGATTAGCCTGCCTTAATTGATTCTAGAAGCTTCTTCTTAATTGGCTCCAGGTGTCCTAATTAGCCTGCCTACCTTAACTGGTTCTAGCAGGTTCCTGATTACTCTAGTACAGCCCCTGCTGTACTACTCAGGGAACAGAAAACTACTCTAGCGACCAGTATATTTGCCCTCTACCAGACTCCTGTACCCCACTGGTCTGGGTCTGTCACACTGATAAGAAACAGGAAGGGCAGAGATCAGGAATTAGTAGTATTATTTGGAGGTTTTGAGGAAACAGTAGGGGGAAAATTTTAAAGGGTTCATATAGCAATCTAAACAGTACACTACCTCAAAAAATCTGGTGGTTCATTCCCTATTAGTCTCATTTTAAAACTTGAACTTCCCAACAGTCATATTATACCATAACCATGTCCCCAGAAATCAAGACCCATTTATTTTGTGAAAGAAAAATACAAGTTATGGACTTCTTGGGCCTACTAAATTAATGCACGAGCAGAAAAAAAATTAACAAAAAGAATACAAACATTTCAGGACATAACTTAAAGGATTTCCTTTCATAAAATTCAAGTTGGCAGTCAATTTAATTAGATCAGGGGTAGGCAACCTATGGCACGCATGCCGAAGGCGGCACGCGAGCTGATTTTCAGTGGCACTCACACTGCCCGGGGTCCTGGCCACCAGTTCGAGGGGCTCTGCATTTTAATTTAATTTTAAATGAAGCTTCTTAAACATTTTAAAAACCTTATTTACTTTACATACAACAATAGTTTAGTTATATATTATAGAAAGAGACCTTCTAAAAACGTTAACATATATTACTGGCACGCAAAACCTTAAATTAGAGTGAGTCAACGAAGACGTGGCACACCGCTTCTGAAAGGTTGCCGACCCCTAAATTAGATGTTGGATTTTACACACACACACACACACACACACACACACACACACACACACACACACACTACTT